CAGTAACTGGCACCTGGCCTTTTTTTAAGCCTTACTGAACACAGAAGGCGTCTTTTAAGCCCACATTATAGATTAAAAAATGGATATGAGATAAATTCACTTCATTGTGAATGCACCAGAGAGCGAAATGTGCTTTTTACTCCAGCTGTTCTGCAGGGAAACACTGATCATGCAGCTTTAGGCCATGCAGCGGTTTTACCGCACAACTGCGGTTCAGTCTGGTTCTTGAAAGCTGTAAGAATATATCCAATATAAAACAAACAGTCATCTCCCTAAGCCAGACATATTTCCAATTTACTGAGGCTGTCTAATTTGCTGTGTTAAAAATGTACAGTATTACCAGTATAAATCAAATCTACCACAAATGAATATAAGCACCATCAATTAAATCTGGGATGGGCAGTTTCTATTAGATGAGGATGCAAATTGAAACAAAGCCATGTTTGCCAGCAACATTTTCGTATCTCTGGAACTTCCAGTGTTAAGATGAAGAAGTAACTCCATGGCTCCATGAAGTACACGCTGCAGCAACACAGTGGCAGTTGTCAGGTAACCTGGTAGCTTGCATGAAACGAATACAGAGGAGAAACGGAACCGTGACGACACAAGAGTTTGTAAGAAAACAGAAGGTAGAGTAAAATCAAACAAACACTAAGCCGCAGCACTGATAACAAATCTGATTAAGCCTAAAATATCAAGAGAGAATTCAATGAAACAAAGGCTGCAAAGCAATGAAAAAAGTTTAAATTGATTTGTTTAAAGGATATAGAACAATAATTATAGCTAAAATATCAGGACTGAACATCGGAAATGCAGCTTTTAACCTCCCGAGACCCAAATTTGTAACTGGTTTGCTTTTTAGTTCAATAAATTGAACTTTAATTACTAAACTCTCTCATAGTGCACCGGGATTTTCCTCATAGAGGGCCGTGGGTTTATCTTTTACTTAATGTATTTAGAGGTTTTCTTTCTAATTTGGCTCTACAGCTCCAAATGACTCACACAATTTGATTTACTCAATACAGATATGACAGATTGAGAACAAATAAATCCATTTTATTTTAGGTGTTAAACATCTAAGTCTCATGAGGCAAAAATGTTCCTCATTTGAGGGAAAAACTATATCAGGGCGGGCTTTTAGTTGATTTTGACATTTTCACGCTCATAAAGATTTAATTTAAGTTTCAGGGTTATATTCTGAGGTTAGATCAGAATGAATGTTTGCTTTCTCTTTTCCATTTTCACATATTTTTATATCAAAAACAGTAACTCAGAAATCATTTCTAACCCTCAACAAGCACAATATCTGGGCTTTTAAAGAAGACTAAAGCATTTTAAGACATCAGATCCTAAATGAGTCAAAGGGGACAATCTCTGACTTCTACTGTTTGACTTTCAGAGGGTTTAAACTTCACAACATATTACATATGCTTTTGGGGGATTTAAAAGCTGGATGAGAGACAGGAGGGATGGAGTCAGCATCAGCACCTGGATGGTCTTAGTTGGGATAGAAATGTCTAAAAGTGGACAGAAAGAAACAGAGAAAAAGGTCCAATTTCAGGGTTAATGAGAAACACACCAAGAACAACAAAAAGGCTTGAACTTCTCGAACAAAAACTGAGCTAAAGAATTGGTGCACAATTTAGACTATAGTTGGTTCACAGAAAAGTGGACAAGCATTCACAAAAGACTAAATTACTCCATTAATTACAGTTTAATGCTGCAATTCCACCCCTTTTAATCATGGCGTTTTAATCTGCAGGAATCAAATATACTCAGCAGCGGCTCACCAATGGAGGCTGATTCATTACCACAAAGGCAGGACACAGATGTTAGGAAATAAAATCAATAGTCTAATAAAAGAGGAGGGAATGGGCTTCCCTTGACCTAGCAGCGAGGATCCACTCGAATTACAAGCATTAAAGACACTTTTATTGTATTTGTGTAGTGTAACTTGGCTTGATTATAATTATTTGATGATAAAAGCAATAAATAAGTAACTAAAGCTATTACCATCGATGCAACAAGCTTTTACAGCACCATTTTTTAAAAGAAAAAACATGCTCCTAAAGGTCTATAGTGATTCTTTTAAATGATGATTCTTATTTACGATTGCAGCTTAAAGAAACAAAAGGAGGAAATTACAAGTAGAATAGAAAGAGTATCTGTGCTTTGAGAGCACAGATACTGCAGCATTTGGGTTGCCTTGGTGTTTTTGACTGAAATTTAAAAAACATGTATAAGAATAAAAGTCCTGACTCATTTAATGAAGAAATTTGAATAAAAACTAATGATGTCGTAGCTTGAGGGCTGCAACTAAGGGGCACGCCCTCCTGACCACAAAGACTGTGCAGTAATGAACTCCCAATTAATCATGATCATTTGGTTCAAATATAAATTGACATGTTTTAAAGTTGTTGTTTTTTATCTAAGCTAATTTAATTCCACATGTTCAACTATAAATCAGGCTAATTTGATACAAAATAGTATACAGGCTAATACATAATATTATGAAAATTATCCAGATTTATTGATAGATCCCAATTTAATCGTGATTTACAGCATAATTTCTGATGATATTCAACAGTTTTCCAATGTATGCTTTAAAGCAGCAATAAATAAGTAGGTGAACCTTGAAATGAAGTGTTTCTCATTCATTTTCAAGTGCAATTTTGCTTCCCAGAAATAGAGATGAGATGCACCCCTAGATACATTTCAGAGCTCTGGTTTGTACTCACTTTGTATGCTTTCAATGATGCAGATAAAATGTATTGTTCAGGTTTGCTGGGCTGCTGATTGTGTGTTGATGTGAATCGGGTATGCAGAAGCAGAGAAACCTCAAAAACCTGCAGAACAGCGGCCCTCGTGGCCTGGAGACGCCAATCCCTCATCCAGGAGGTGCTAGCTCAAAGGCTAGGCCAAGTAGCTAAAGGAGCACACCCAGAGACAGCCCGGAACAAGATCCTCAAACAGGTGTTGTGCAGAAGAGATCTGGCCAAGCAGGACACTGGACTGCAGCACAGAGCTCAGTTTCTGCTCTGCAGTGGTGGAAACGGCCGGGGGAAGGGTCAGCATTCATCCCCACGGCTCCTCCAGCAGGCCAAGAGCTGCTGCTTCAAGCTTGACCTGCTTCTCCCTATAGCTCGCTCTATTCACTTTCTGATCTTTTATAAAAAAAGATCGGAAAGTTGCAAGGTTGCATGTGAATGACAGAAAATTATTATAATATATTCCCTTTCTATGCTTTCAACAATCCATCAAGTGAAAGCTCAAAGACCCACACCAGCCCTAAGATCCATTAAAGCAGCTACTCATGCAAGACAACTCTAAGATGGTGTCTTTGCCTTTCTGTAATGAAGTTCCAAATTCCACAATTAAAATACTATCAATCCAAATCAGGGCTCTTTTGAAGATGTTGCACACTTAATAATCCAGAGGGTTGACCGCTAGCTCCGTAAGTAGTGTGACATTCATCCCAATGATGGCTGAATGTAAATTTTGACCTGATATTTAAGTAAAGTATGTGGGCATTTGCTGTTTTTTTTAGAAGTCTGAGTAATAAAAAACAACTCTCCAAAAGCCCTTAAGTGTGCGCAAAACCCTGGAGACCTCTTCTACTGATTGGTTCAAGGTCAGTGCAAGAGTTGGCGTGCTGAATAATACTTACAGAGTAGAGAGGTCTTTTTTTTATACTATAAAAAACATCATTATGATGGTCTTCCCTAATAAATATGCAGGCTCAAGGCAGTTGCAAAACTAATATTTTATAACGCATGTGTCCATGGACCGTCAGAAAGTCTAACTCTAATGGATGTCATTGAAACCATGTAAGCAGTTCCTTTTACTATCAAAAAGCTTATTAAAAAGGATGGAATTGAAATAAATCCACATCTAACGGTTCATTTTTTTCCACTAATACAGATATTAAAGTTCAGTTTCTGGAAGAATAAATAAGACAAAAACCCTGAGCTTCAAAAAGGGAGCTGGGGTTAACCTTGTTGAGTAGTGTGTGATTAAGATGACAAACGGTTGACATTTATGCAATTTTCCTCCATCAGGATAATGGAGTGGTCCTTCTGCGCTGTCTGTGGCGCTCTCTTTGCCTCGCCGGCTGAATCTCGAGAGATGCTTACATTCTTGGAGCAGCAGCTGTCGAGAGTCCGCCAGATCCGCGACACGAATGAACCCGGCAGACTCTCAGGTGCAAATTTCAGTCACCTATTTATTGTCTATACTGCCTTTTTCCTAGCAGGGTGGCTGGAGCTTTACTGGCTGATTACAGAGACAAACAGCCACGCACATGCTCTTACTCAAAAAAGACACTTTAGAGTCTTCGGCTAGCTTTTTTTGGAGCGAGCGGGAGAAGCCATGCATACCAGAACGCTCCCCGGTCAGATGTCGAGCCCTCCATTTGCTTTGCCAGCCACCACACCACTGACTGTCTGAGGCAAAATTTGAAAACTTTCAAGAATAGCTTCTGCAACAATCTCACTTATGTGATGTTTATATGCTTAGCAGACGCTTTAGTCCAAAGCGACTTACAGCGCAGACACAACATCACAGTTAGCATCAAGCTAACAATGGCTGCTCGGGCTGCACCAGGTGAACTTTTCATTTTCTAAGCGCACTGGCTGATGTTCATATGTAGCAACCGGGTTCACAGCCAGGGGCGTGTGTCACAGTGGGACAGAATCATCTGCTGAGGACAGGACCTATGCTGTTGCATGTGCTATATGTCAGAACTCGGCTCTTTTCTGTCAATCCGTCCCTTCTTCTTCCTGGAGGCTTTCAACATCCAATCAAAGCCAGTACCGTAGCTCAAATATTTTGAGACAGAACCAGAATAAGGCCCACACTCCAAGCTTCACAACGGGTCCAATAGGATCCACGTCAACTCGATTTTGACCAGTCAGCAGATGTCCTGCATGATTAAACCCTAAAGTAAGACATCTCAGCAGCTCCAGTACCCAAAGGATCCTCACATACAAAAGCAAATTATGTCAATGATCTGTGCCTAAAAGAAAACGAAAAACAAATCATTTAAAAACTCTCACTAACTACTTCAAATGGGTTTGATTTCCCAGCCTTTCTATTACCTGTGATGAGGTTGTCCACCAGTGTTGTGGGGATGCAGAATATCCCCACCAGCAGGTCACTGATTGCCAGGTTGAGGATGAAGAAGTTGGTGACCGTGCGCATGCAGCGGTTCTCCAGCACAATCAGACACACCAGGATGTTGCCCACCATGCACAGCAGGAAGATGAAGGAGTAAGCCAAGATGTAGCTGGCCGCCACATACAGAGAATGCTGATAGTATGGGAAAAAGGTGATGTTGGTAAAGTTGGAGGAGCCATTGGTGCTGGTGTTTAGCAGGTACGCTCCCTCTGATTCCATCCCTTCCTCCACCATCATTTCCAGGGTCTCCATCGCTCACATGTACCAACGCTGCAGGGGAAAGCAAACAGTAGAGACAGAAGAGAGTTAAGAGGTCAGTCCGTGGCTGATCAAAAGCCTCTAAATTTTCAAGAAACCGGATATATATGTATTTCATTTTACATTTGCAATCAGTTGCTCAATGCATGTGTCGTTCACTAATTAGTTGTTAATGTTTTCCTCATGTTAAACCCAGAGCTTTTAACCTAAAATATGAATAACAGTTCACATATGCGAGTCCTTTGATCCTACAGATCATTAAAATTGCATGTATGACTGGCAACATCAGTTTATGCTGTTAGATTTTTTCAAATCAATCAGTATTTTATATGCAGCAGAACCTACACTGAAAAATCTAATCTAATTTAAATTGATCTGTAAACTGCCTAAAGTTTTCCTTAAATCTGACTGAAATGAGCCTCATGATGGACCCAATGGCACCTGGGATAGGCTCCAGTGTCCCACGCAACCCTGATATGGGTTACGATGCTATAGAAAATGGACGTATGGATAATTTACACTAATCAAAATAAGATTAGATTTAATCTTTTAAATGCAGTAGATCAGTTCTCTTTCACAGGGATGCTGTGAAGTAAAACATGCGTCCTATGAGCTATCAGCAATATTATGTAATATGTTGCATTTCGTTCGCAGGGATCATATACATCTATTTATATGTTTTACTGTAGCCTGAGAGCAAAAGTGAAAATTCGAGAAAGTTTAACCAAAGAAGTCCGAGTGCAGGAAGGGCAGCTGTAAAACCCGAGGGCATTAACATTAGCTACACTTTTTAGACATTAAACACATTTTTCGTAGGAGCAAAAGCTCAAAAGTTAGTTTATATCTCAAGCCTCACAGTATTAATGTGTCATCAGTACGTTGCATAATTTCGTCTCTTCGGGATTGAGGGAATAGCAGCGTTGCAAACACTTAACGTTCTGCTTTCTAGTCTATACCGACAAAAATGTATTTATTCTGCTGCACAGAAAAGGGAACATCTGACGTGTTTTTTATTCTAATATTACAAAGTAACATAACTAGCAGTAAAAAAGGAAACTCTCCAATAGCTATAAATGTATTCAAATAAAGTAAAAAAGATAGATGAAAGTTGACAAAAATCATAATAATGAGAGTGTGACTGATAAGTGCTCCTCACAACATGTTTAAGTGCAGGAAAGTACTCTGCTGCTCTATGTAAAAATAAATCACTCCACAGACATCTTTTTCATACCAAATGTATAAACAGTTTTGCAATATCGCCTGGGTCTAAGCTTCCACTGTTCATGTTGCATCACAGCTATGAATCTGCTCTCATCTGCAGCATCTTATAAACTGTCTGCACAAAATAAAATCCCTGGTTAATCTACTCCAGCTACTCATACGCATACAGATGTTTACTAATATAAAAATGCATACTAGTATACATATGTACATGAATATGTGGCATAAGAGAGGCAAAGCAAACTAAAATTGAAATAAAAAGCAACAACCACATAGAAAAAAATAAAGCAAAACCAAAGAACCAGCTGTTTCACCTGTTGAGCCACCAGTCTGTAGGGAAACCAGAGGGACAGCCTTAAGGAAGACAAATGGTAAAAAAATAAACACAAACAGCAGCTACGCCGTCAGCAAATATGCACTGATAAAAATGTGGAGAGTGATTATTAAAACCACAGGACTGCACAGGAGCTGCATATTAAGGGCGTGTGTAAGACACACATGTAGACACATCGCTGGCCTCGCATGAATTGTGTTTAATGGTGGGTGCAGAGGGCCGTCACCGCACGCCACTCCCGAGATCAGAAATAGACAGAGAGGCAGCCAGCAGCCCCCCACAGGCTGTGAAACCGAGGCGGTCCACCACAGGGACAGCCACATGCTGACACAGATGACAGCAAAGGACGGGTTTGGAAAGAGCCCCCACGGCCAAAGGAACCAGGCAACAACCGACCGAGCACCAGTCAAGAGCAGGAACCAGGGGCTGCCATTATAGTCCTACACTCAGACCAGCTGTCAGGTGTAACTGCACAGTGTTTTTGGACAAAAAGCAGCATTTCTAGAAAGAAGCTGAAGTCAGCTTTCCTTTCAGATAGGTTTACATGTTCAATTGAAAGGCGACTAACAAGCAGAACTAAGCAAAACAATTTTCCCGAAACAATCGGCTGATTTTTGCATAAGGGGATGACGGTAAAAGAAACAGCCCTTGATTATTTTTCCAGGAATGCTCCAGGAACTGCAGCTAGGTCAGCATACGCATCCCCCGCCCCCTGTTTAAGTGCGATAATTTACAAGATCTGCTGCTGGGATGGAAGTTAATGAGTGGCATTTTAAAAAGAATCAAAACATCTCCTCTGGCTTTATAACACAGAAGATGCACAAACCCCGTCAAAAATGCCAGCCCATATGGGGCCTAAGACCTGCCAGCAATACCAAGAAAAGTTCATCAGCCCATGGATTGGCTCTGCCTTTGGTAAAGCCTGCATCACGCAGCAGGATGCCTCCTGCAGAGACTCAGAAGACAAGCCGGCAACGCAAATACACACAGCTTTGGGAAAGGTTTGCTCTCAGAAGGGCAAATCCGGTTCGATTGAGTTGCTTTGTCAGAAGCGTTTTTTAGACGATGGCTTGGCATTTCCTCCAATAATTCGTAAACAGCCGCAGGATGTTTCTAATACTTGATTATTCCAACTTTCCTTGTTACTGAAGAGCTGAACTGTGTCTTTTCTGCAGTTAAAACGAGGGCGCTGATATGTTGCTTTCTGTTTTCTGCAAGTTTGATCAAATAATTCTCCCTTAATTTAGCTTAAAAATTAATTTGGTCTCCCGCTCTCCAGACGTTTTTTATACTTTGTGTATGTGAGCTGATGTAACAGTGCGAGATCCACTTCTTCCCGTTAATTTTAATAGCAAAGAATCAGACCGTCGCAATCTGATGGATAATAACTTTGCTTTTAAAATGACTACATGCCACAGTTGAGCACAGACTTTCATTCTGCTCCCTGCTCGCAACCTGTGGGCGGAGAAGAGTATTCATACAGATAGAGACGTGACAAAGGGTAAATGTTCTCTACCTTAGAATTATATAGAATTATTACAACAAACAAGGAGCGATTGATGACAAAATAGCATCCTATCATAAAGGATAAAAGTTGTTTTATGGAAGAAGGTGAAGAAGAACAAACTGCACGTCAATAGAAGAGTGGGCATTGACTCCCTGAGGAGATGTGATATGATATGTGGGTAGCTCTTCAAACAGCAGCACAAACACAGAAGTGATGAGCCTTTTCTCGGAAAAACAAGAACCAGTTTTTCACAACACCCTAAATCAAAAACAAGCAATCATGGTCAAGACTTTGGATTGAGACATTATTAAAAAAATCCATTTCTAAGAATGAAATGTCAACAAATTCTGCTTATTGGAGGAGATATCGGAAACATCAGGCTTATGGCAGAAGAAAGTTTTAGAAAAGAACAAAGTATTCATGGCAAAGAAAATCCTTCCTGACCTCTTGCACCCTCGTCGGAGACTCTTTAACCTTCTGTTCTGTGGGAGGAGCTCACAAAGAGAAGCCAAAAGGGCGTCAAAACCAGCTTCTACCCACGGGCCGCAAGACTCTAAAACGTGGGATGTGTCAACACTGTGCACCACTGGTGATACTGATGTATATGTCATATATTATTCATAAAGCACCTTTAATACAGAAGCATTGGTTTACATGATAAACCTCCACCCCGACAAATAGAAAAACTCTGCCTTTGCTCTCTGCCTCTTTAACTGAAACATCGTTCTGAAATTAAAACGAAAAATCTCAATAGAAACATAAACATCTGGCTTGATGCTGTGGTGAGGAAACATCTTGGGAATCCGTCCACACCAGGGACCAGCACATCAATGACCAGAGAGGCTGTCGCCATAGGGACGCCCATAGCAACCACCCCACATCCCGAGGAGGAATCGTCCCACAGTGCAGAAGATCCCTTAGAGCAAAAACACTGGAGCTGGAAAATACATTAAAAAAGCCTTAAAACAAACCTAAATGCAGGAAAAACCATTAAAGAAAACAAAAAGGAACGAGTGCATAAATAAGTCAACAGATAATTAGGAGATAAATGTTTAAACATGACTTAATAGGACACAATTAATACACCTAGCCAAACAAAATTAATAGATAAAATAATTTCAAATTCAGCTAGAAGCTAAACTAAACCATAATAATGGAACAAGGTCTCACCATAAGTTCTGGTTCTTACTTCAGGAGTAACTAAAGGGTCCACGAGGGTCCAAAAAAACCTTAAAATCAACCCTAAAAACCCGCTGAGACGATGCAGCGACCTAAGCGTGAATATTTGAACTGTGAATTTGTAACTTAGCACAAAAGGGACATTTTACCACAGTTTCAGGCTTCAGATGGCAAACGTCTGACCAAATTTATGTGCTCCCAACATCAGATCAACAAGTGTCCATTTTCAATACTTCTTCCTCAGCTCATTTTTCTCATCCGTCACGGCACAAAAAAACATGTTTATACGTTTAACACTTCATCAAGTCACGTGGAATTAAAAGAAGACACTGTTTTAAGGCTTAGCCTCACAGTGTGCGCCTAAAACCCATCATCATTACACTAAATATGCAGCATCCCTTTCTACGACAGGCAGGCTTGATGCTAATGTGATCTTGACAACATGGCATGCATTCAAAACAATGAGAGCCCCAATTAACCAAAATTCTGCACAGCCTGACAGCAGCTTTTCATTGTATGCAGAAAATTTTCAAAAATGCCGCAAGAACAAAACATGTTTCCCCAGCAGGAGAAAACTGCTCAAACACTGTATGACATTTCCAATCTGCCAAACAGCCTTATCTTAGAGGCAGTGCTTATGGGCTGCAAGGCATTCTTTACAATCCCATTTGTCTTAGAAAGAACAATGTTGCATGTTTTTTTGAATAATTTCAGGTATGCACAAGCAGATTGTTTCTGACGCTGATGTGGACA